AAGATGTAACTTGTTTTGTTTATGCAGGTACTGACATATTATATTATAATGTATAAAGTCTGATAACCAAACCCCAACTTGAAAATCAAAATGATCCTTCTCTAAATATAAATAATGTACTCTTTCCAGGCTTACTATTCATACTTTTTTGTAATTTAAAAAATTCATCATATCTTAAAGAAAGGACCTATTAATTTATAGGTAAAAACACTGATGGTATATTTTTCATTTATCATCAGATGGTATATGATACATGCTCATTTTAAACAATGAAGGCAGTGCAGAAGAATGTAAGTCACCTATTCTCCTCTCCCCTTACACTGGCTAATAACATTTTATAACCTCAAAGTATCTGAAATGTGTATTGCCATTTTGATCTGTCCTAACTTTAGCAACTAACATATGAAGATTTCCTTTTTTGTGTCACTGGTTAATTACACCTAGACAAACCCTATTCAAGATGGCCTGGTGGTAAATAACCCACCTGAAGATCTCCTTGTTTTCCAGAGTGATTTGGTGGAAAGAATGGGAGATTTGGACTCAATAGACCTCAATTTAAGTCACACTCATCGGGCCTCAGTTTTCTCACATGTAAATGAAGTCAGTAGCATTACTTATGGAAAAAATGGTTTTCAGCCTCAAGGTTGATCAACACCCTAAGTGTAATTCTTTGTATAGAGTGGCTATTAAGAGATGAGTGTGGTCTTTTCCATATTAATAAGTTATCTAGGAGCTTGGTTGCTAAATCTGGAAAAACTTGATCAGTTTAGGATCTTATTGTTTTTATAACTCTACTGATGTATTATGACTATTATTAATATTACTATTGTGTCATCCTTGTAACCTGTTATTAAATGGTAAAAAGCTTTGCCAAAGTAAAAGCATTAGACTTTAGAAATTTCCCCTAAAATAAGTGGTGTGAAGCATAGAAACATTAACAAAGAAGCTTATGAAATGAAAGAGATGAAAGGTTAGAAAGCTGCCTCTCTTGGCTAACTCAGGCCCAACCCTTCCCAGCAGCAGGGACTGGGGGGTGGAAGGGGTGAAATGACCTCTCAAGGTTCCTTGTAGTCTGTGGTATTTTTTTTTAAGTCTATTTAAAGATTGCAATAATACTGCTGATGTAAAATCCTTTGTACACAGTGATGGTTGAAAATACCGGCTCCTGACCCAAATCTCTGCCTGCCTGGTTATAATTATATGCTTGAGATTAACAGGACTCAAATGCTCATGTTTTATACAGACCATTGGGTCTTTTTTCTCCTCAAGAATTTTTTTAAAACTGTATTTTAGACTGAAGCAAGAGGGAGAAGGTTGATTTAAAAATGCATTCAGATACAGAAGGATTTAGATTATTTTAATAACTAAGCTTGGTTATCATATTGCAGTTCAGAAAGATGAATGAATAATAAGGTAGAATGCTAAGATCCAGGAGGTAATCCCTGAGATAGGACATTACTGGAGCAGCATATTAACTAGAAAAGTCATTCTTAGCAGAGAACAGATAATTCCCCAAATACATAAGCATCTGGTATATAATAAGTAGCTTGTATAGTATTTTTTTTCCCAATCTTTATTGTTGTGATTATTACTGATTCCCCTCTTTTTTCCTCCCATAGCTCCCTTCCACTCAGTTCCCACCACATCCCATGCCCTCTTCACCTTCTTGTCTGTGTCCATAGGTAATACAAACATGCATATAAGATCTTTTGTATATTCTCTTCCTGCACCCCCCTACACTGCCTTTCCTCTGAGAATCGTCAGTCTGTTCCATTTCCTTGTCCCTGATTCTATTCCATTAACCAGTTTATTTTGGTCATCAGTTGCTTTTTTTTTTTTTTTTTAATTCATTTGATTTTTAGATTCGTTTATTGATAGATATTTATTTGTTGTCACTTTGTTGTTGATGATTTTTTATCTTTACCTTTTTCTTCTTCTTCCTCTTTTTAAAGAATACCCTTCAGCATTTCCTATAATACTGGTTTGGTGGTGATGAACTCCTTTAGCTTTTTCTTGTCTTTGAAGCTCTTTATCTGACCTTCAATTCTAATTGATAACTTTGATGGGTAGGTAGAGTAATCTTGGTTGTAGGTTCTTACTATTCATCACTTTGAATATTTCTTGCCACTCCCATCTGGCCTGCATAGTTTCTGTTGAGAAATCAGCTGAAAATCGAATGGGCACTCCCTTGTAAGTATCTAACTGTTTTTCTCTTGCTTCTTTTCAGATTCTCTCTTTGTCTTTTGCCCTTGGCATTTTAGTTATGATGTGTCGTCGTTGTGTGGTCCTCTTTCAATTCCTCATGTTTGAGGTTCTGTGTGCTTCCTGGACTTGTAAATCTATTTCTTTCATCAGGTAGGGGAAGTTTTCTGTCATCATTTCTTCAAATAGGTTTTCAATTTCTTGCTTTCTCTCTTCTTCTGGCACCCCATAATTTGGATGTTGGTACACTTGAAGTTGTCCCAGAGGCTCCTTACGCTGTCTTCGTATTTTCGATGATTTTTTCTTTTAGCTCTTCTTGTTGGGTGTTTTTTGATTCTTCATATTTCAAATCATTGACTTGATTTTTGGGATCACCTAGTCTACTTTTGAATCCCTGTATATTATTCTTTATTTCAGTCAGTGTGTGCTTAATTTTTGACTGGTCCTTTTTTTTTCTTTTTTTTTTTTTTTTTTTTTTTTTTTTTTTTTTTTTTTTTTTTTTTACATTCTCACTAAGATTCTTGAAGGTCTCACTAAGTTCCTCAGAGGTTTCTAGAATATTCTTGAATAATTTTATAACTGTGGTGTTGAACTCTATATCCAATAGTTTGCTTTCTTCGGTTTCTTTCATTTGTGATGTGTTTCTTTATCTCTGCATTTTGGCTGCTTCCCTATGTTTGTTTCTACATATTGGGTAGCTGTTAAGTCTCCTTGAGTTAATGGAGTAGCCTTGTATAGTAAGTGTTATATAGGGCCCAGTGGCTCAGCCTCCCCAATCACCTGAGATGATCTTTTTCTGTGAACTCTCACGTATGTACATGAATAGAAATCTGTCCTTTTTCTTCTTCATCTGTTTTTAGTTTAATTCACAGGCCCCCAATAACTGAATTCCTGCCCCAGTTTGTTGGGCTGCATTTGGGAGGCAACTGATCATGTGTCTCACATCGATGTTTCTCTCTCTCTCTGTTTTTCTCTCGCTCTCTCCTTTCCCTCTCTCCCTCCTTTCCACTCTTAAAAAAAAATCAAAGAAAAAATATCATCCACTGAAGATTGACAACAACATTTATAAAAACAAAACAATACCAAAATCAATCTTCACACCTAAAAATGTGTTAATATTAAGTATCCAATTGATGTTTAAATTTTCCCAAATATCTCAGACATTTAAAAAATTGATTTATTTAAAACAGGATATAAATGAGGTAAATACATTTGGCAGGTATAGCTCTGAAGTTCTTTTTATTTATTTTTTATTTTTAAAAATATGTTTTGTTGATTTTTTTTACAGAGAGGAAGGGAGAGGGATAGAGAGTTAGAAATATCAATAAGCTGCCTCCTGCACACCCCCTACTGGGGATATGCATGCAACCAAGGTACATGCCCTTGTCCTGAATCAAACCTGGGACCTTTTAGTCTGCAGATCAATGCTCTATCCACTGAGCCAAACCGGTTAGAGATCTGAAGTTATTTTTAATCTGAAGCAATCAGTCCTCTTTCCTTTCTTTAACTCTTGCAATTTATCTGTTAAAGAAACAAGTCATTTGTCCCATACAATTTTCCACACCTGTATTTTGCTGGCTACAAACCTATGGTGTCATTTAACGTGTTCCTCTGTCCTTTGTGTTGCCTAGAAATTGGTGGTTAAAACTGGGGAATTGACTTGATCCAAGTTCAAAGAACATGTACTCTTCAAGGGTAGTATGTACCTCCATGCGTAACACATAACAACTATTGGGTTTAATGTTAGCAGATAAGCCGAGTATTATAATTTGCTAATTTTGAATAAGAATCAGCAGTGGAAGTGGTACTTTGTACAGGAGAAAGGTATACACAGAACAATATTGTGGAATTATTTAAATTTATTCTAATTGATTGGGCATCACAGCAACTATAAATAGATGGTGATTAGCAGAACTTCACTGGTGCAAACCCTGGATTGCTCCTTATTTGAATCACCTTATAAATCCAGGATCTACTCACTTAACCATATCTCAGATTTCTGCTACTTTGGTCCATGTTGCTGTCATCTCCTCCCTACATCACTACACTAACCTCTTAATAGGTCTCTGTGCCTTTGTACTTGCTTCTCTACACCTGTTCTCAACTCAGTAGCCAGAATAACCCTTTTAAATTCTGGCTTTTTCATCTACTACCCAAGTTATTTAAACTCTCTGAGTCCCATTAGTCTTATCTGTAAGAAGTTAACAATACTTACCTTATAAGTTTTTATTTATTAAACATTTATTGGCAGCTAAAATGTATAAAGCACTGTATCTAATAGATATTGGGGATAAGATCCTATATAATAAAAGACTAATATGCAAATAGACCAAATGTTGGAACAACCAGTACAACTGAACAACTGGTCACTATGATGTGCACTGACCACCAGGGGGCGTGTGCAGGTGTTGTCTGTGGTGGGATGGTGGAATAGGTGAGCAGGGGCGCTAGACCAAGGTGGGATGCCGGTCCCTGTCATCAGGGTTACTGAAAATTCTTTGCTCTTGAGCGCTGTGGTCCTACCTGGTAATCACACCTGCTGCCAGCGCCAGAGCTGCTGCTCACACCCACTGCAGGTGCCTGTCCTGATCACTCGGTGCCATCAGTGGGTGTGAGGGATGGCTGCTGGCCCTGATCACCCCTGAAGGCTTCTCCACCTCCTTCTGCTCCTGAGGGGTGATTGGGGCAGTAGCCACTGCTTGTACGTGCTGCTGGTGCCAACCCCAATCACTCAGTGCCATCAGCGGGTGTGAGTGGGACCAGCACCTTCAGTGAGTGGGAGTGGTAGTGGCAGGAGTGGGACTGCCAGCAGAGGGGGCTAGGGGCCATGGTGGGAGGGGCCAGGCAGAGGAGCAGAGGATGGGCTGGATCCGCCCCTGTGCTCACCACAGCCTCACAGCCCACAGTTCCTTTCAAGGTGCAAGACTTCATGCACTGGGTCCTAGAAATACCTTATATAGAAAGTGCCTGGTGCACAGTAGTTGTTCAATAGGCCAGAGCTATTATTATTGCTATTATTATATGTGCATAAGTAGACTTTTGGAATGATGGTAGTACAGATATATCAGTTAGCCTTCTAACTAAGTAACTGGAGCCCCCCGCCTAGTATCTTTGTGAAGCTTTATGTGCCAGGGAAAAGGGTTGTTTTCCACCCTCTAACTGGAAGTACCATGTCTTTCTGCAACACATGTGTGACTTCTGACAATCCTGGTCAACTGTGTCCCAGAACAAAATGAAGCTGTTTTCCCTGAATACCATTCTTTTTCACGATGGTTGATAGAGGTTCACTAACAATTTTGATCTGGTAAAGAGTCAGTCAGTGGAAAATTAGAAATTTTAATGAAGATTCTCATTAGTTGTTCTTCACAAATAATGGGCTATAATCCAACTCAAGATTCTTAGCAAAGCAATTCCTATTTCAATTATCACAAGTAATTATTAGTTAGTGTTTATATCACTTTGTGCTTCTTAAGTACTTTCAATTATTTTTTTCTTTGAAAAAAAAAACCCCAAAAAACAAAACCCCACAATGACACTAAAGAACCAGAAAACAAGCCCTTTGAGGCATCTCAGAATGTTAATTTCCATTTCACAGTTGGGGGAATGTGGGATAGTTATTGAGCAAACACCAATGTATTCTGTTATCCTTACAAAAATAATGCAAATTTCTATCCTAATGGTTGCCCACGACCAGCTCCTACTATTAAATAAATGTATTTATACACAAAAACATCAACATGTACATGCATGGTTGAAAAGATGCTCTTAGATCAATGCTTCTAATGCTCAGCAAAGAAATAGACTCCCTGCATGATTTCTCTTCAGAAAAGTCATGTGTTGAATGAACCGGGTCTAAAGATGGTGATTTTGTCACTTCTCTGCTTGCTTCCTGCCTTCAAAATTCCCATTCTTCTGCCCTTGCTGGTTTGGCTCAGTAGATAGAGCATCAACCTGTGGAATAAAGGGTCCCTGGTTTGATTCCAGTCTAGGCCACATGCCTGGGTTGTGGGCTCGTTCCCCCATATGGGGTGTATAGGAGGCAACTGATTGATGATTCTTTCTCATCATTGATGTTTCTATCTCTCTCTCCCTCTCCCTTCCTCTCTGAAATAAATAAAAAATATATTTTAATAAATTCCCATTCTCCTCCTTATCTTCTTCTATTCTTTTAATTTAGTTGATCAATAAGTCAGTCGATGTTTGCTGTGTAGCAATTACACTGTTTCTGTTGCATGCAACTGTAAGCATTTATTGTTGGCCCATGCACCCATGGGTTGTCTAGGCTGGTTAGCTCCATGCTGAGGAGGTAGTGTTTTACCTCGGGTATGCTTAAGGCAAAGACCTTTGGGCAATAGGATAAGCTTAATGCATAAGTACATTTTAAATCTTTGCAAGTGGCCTGGCTCATTGGCTCTCCCAAAGTCAAGGTGCAGGGCAGCTTCCTCCTCCCACTGGTGGACCATCGCAAGGGTTTTGGGCATATTATTGTGGGAGTTGAGAGATAATCAAGTCCTGCAGACACAAGCAGCATCTTCCTCTTTTCCTTTGCCCCATCTCTTCTCTGACTTGCCTGTTAGAGTGTAACAATATTGGCAAGATCGGGCCACAGTAAGATAGAGTCTTAGCAAGACCATGATCCCCAAGGATGTAATACCCAAGGAGGCTATCCGGGGATTTCCTATGAATGTTAGATTTATGGCTAAAACACTCTAGTAATATTCTACCCCTGTAGTTAAGCCTCTTGCAATGTGATTTTGAAGATCTCATCAAGAGGTAGAATTCTGGGGAGGAAGGGCATGTATGGGAGGGGGGCAATGGTATATGTACACAGACAATAATTTAATAAAAAAAAAAGTTAGCATTCATTTCCCTGCCTCTCGAATCTGGGCTTACTGGTGACTTGCTTCGGCTCATGGCATGTAGTGGACCTTATGGGATGCCAATTTCAAGCCTAGTCATCCAGGAGCTTTCTCTCCTTGCTTACCGTCATGAGCATAAGCCCAGGCTAACTTGCTAAAAGGTGAGAAGACCATTTAGGGATGAGTTGAGACCTCTAAGTTGTCCCTGCTGAAGAAGACACTGGTGACCAGCTCACTGCAGGACACGAAGAGGTCTCAGATCAACAAGCTGCCTGGCTGACCCATATGTGTATGAGAAATAATACATCTGTTTTGAGCCACTAAGTTTTGGATGGCTTGTTAGGCAGAAGTACTAATTTAAATACCTTGGAGCTCCTCATCTTGGTTGCTTTGTACCATAGTATCCCTTTTCCAATCCTGCATATTTTGGGGGCAGGCTAGAGGTGATAAACTATCCCCTGGTACCTTCCATATTCCCCAAAGCCACATCCTCACAGTTCTTGAGATTTTTGTGACTCTTTCTGAGTAAGCATTTATAGTGGGTGGCTATTTATTTAGAAAGAGTATAGAACACAAATTGATTTTGGAGAATGTGATTACTGAGACTATAAAAAGCAAAGCAAAGCACACAATGGCTTTGTGTTCAAGCTGTCAGATGCATTCTAATTTCTGTAACAATGGTAATTAATTTTAGCTGGATAGAAAATCCATTTTCTTTGAGGAATCAGTGAACGATAGAGAAAATTTGTCAGTAACCATTGTCTGGAATTTTAGTCTCCAGGAGGCACAATCATTTTACAATGACAGCTATTATATGGGAAAATCAACCTAAGAGAAAGCTATTAGGCACTACTGTACATTTCTGTGACAATGGGATTGAAGTCAGATAAAAAGGTAAGAGGCCTGATATCAAAGATCTACTTTTTTCTCTCCTGTTTTCCCAGCACTAAAATGTAATATAAAAAGTGAAATGTAAAGAGATAGGTGTGGTGGCTTACAGTTTAAAATTTTACATTATCAAACATATTTCAGGGCATGATCTTTGGGGATTCAGGAAAATAGCCATTTATGAAAATATCAGGGGAATGCTCTCTTTTTGCCATTAAATCTACAATCCCACTGTAAATTTTCTGTGGTTTAGTGTTTTGTTATCAATATTTTCCTGCTCATCACTGAACTCTAATGGACTCATTTTCACATTTGTGGGCATGTGCCACTACTTTATTTTTTATGGTGTACTGTGGTAGTTGAACTTTTGTACTGGTTTTAAACTAGACTACCAAAGCAATGTGGAATTTGTCACAAGTGAAATCTGTATAAAAGATGTAAGGCAATGTTTCATAGTATTTTTACGTGTACTGATGAACTTATTTATCTACTTGGAAAAAGTTTTTCAGATGTGGGGGTGTATTTGCATTGTTCCATTCACTCAACCTCATGTCCCTGACTGGAGGGCACAGATGTTATTATTCTACTAGAGGCCTGCTGCACGAAGATTTGTGCAAGAATAGGCCTTCCTTCCCCTGGTTTCCCTCCTGGCCATCCGGGAGCCTGCAAGTCCTCCTGTAGCTCCCTCCACCCTGATCCTCCTCCTTCCCTTCCCCCGCATAGCAAGCATTCTGCCCCACCTGGCTGCTCCACACCTGCGTATGCAAATTAACCCAACATCTTTGTTGGGTAATTTTGCCTGTACACTCCTGATTGGCTTATAGATGTCTCAGAGGTGTGATTAATTTGCATTTTTCTCTTTTATTAGTGTAGATGTGATGTTTGGGTATGTACATGCACTGAATAAATGCATCAGGCATTTTGGGGCTACAAAGGGGTTGGTCAGCTTCCAGGAAGCCTCTTTGTAGGGACAATAGGAACATGAAGGAGCCACACCTTCTTTGCCTTCTGACCCTTTCTTGTAAGTTTCTCCTCTATAAAGCCTCTGCCTTAAAGTATTTCATGTGTTGTTTTGGAATTCTTCCTGAGCCCTGGAGCTTGACAGGGAGTTGATCACAAAAGGACTTGACTTGCATAACAATCTGTTTTTAAATGACTCATTAAGGGGAGAAAATAAATGTTTTTCTCTTAAGAATGTGAGTGCAGCAAGTTTTGTGTATTGTTCATTGCTCTCTCTCCAGCATCTAAAACAGTACTTGACACAATAGGACCTTTTTAATGAGTGAAAGGAAATTTGAAGAGACCAAGAGATGTAGGTTCACTCACACACCAGCTGAAGAAACCCTGAACAGTTACCTCTTCCTTAGGAGAATTGAATCACATCCTTAGATTAAACAGTGAATATTTGCCATAATCGTTTGGGTTGGCAACCTGCCAGTTACACAGAAGCTGTTCTTTCTCGGTGCTCAGTTGATTCTCTCATATTGGAAATAGACTTTTGAAAACACTCATACAGTAAGCCTAAAGCAGGATTCTGATTGGGCCTGCCTGTGTTCATCACATGCACATTCCTGAAGCAATTTGTTACTGGGTCAGGAGGATGTTGCACTTGACGGACTCAGTGTGGGTCATATGCCCAAGCCGGGGACTGGTAGGGAGAGTTTGTTCCTAGAAGAGAGGGGAGAGAAAAGTGTGCAGGCTACGCGGGCACGAGTAGTTAACTATAGTCTACTATGATCAACAAAGTCAAGCCTATGCCTCTTATTTGAGGGGCAAATTGAGCTTTTCCTCTGCTTGTTTGAATTTAAATAGGCTAGAGTTCACCCACACAAATGTGAGCAACCTAGAAGTCCAAATTATCCTCTGTTGTAGATTAGGCAATTGGAAAGTAAAATACCTTTGCTTTTCCTGAATCATTTGTTCTGCTTAAAGTCTATTCTATGGTATTTGCATGGTTTCATTTGGCAAAGGCATAGAAAGCACTTAGCTGTAAATGCAGTGTAATTATATGCGGTGTAAGTGACTGAGCCATTACCCACAGGAAGTTAGGGTAAAACCTGTTATAGGGAAACAGCCTTTGGATTTATCCTATAATTAATCTAGATTTGCTACAACAATGTTCTAGAAAAATGTTTCTTGGCCAACTTTCAAGAAATTTAAGAAGACTAAAATTCGTATTATTTAAAATTGTTATTACATTGCATGAGAAAATGAATTCTTGGAACTGGTCAAATGAGGCTGTGAGAGTTCTCTTTGAAAGGAAGATAATTTAGAGACACTAGTAATTTAATTGCTTTTAGTAATCAGCAGGTCTTAAATTTGTTTTTATAGCATGTATGCTTTTTACCTTGTTGATTTTGGGATTTAAGAACATGATCTGTCAACGACAATAAAAAATGTGAAGCTATCTCTAGCTTCAGCTTGTAATTAAATTACTTTTCATAGCTATTTTTTATTCTCAATGTTTCCTCATTCATTACACCATCCCTGTGAGGAAGGTCATGATAGAGGAGTGGAGAAGCAGAGATATTAAGAAGTTTTTCTCAGGTCATATAGAGAACAAGTGGCAAGTGTGGGACTTAAACATAAGTCTTCTATATTAAATAGGATGCTTTTGGCTATGTTTGACAGGCTATCTGACTAATAGTGGTTTAAACCAAAAAATATATTTAATAATCTTGCATATAAAGAAGACTGAAAGAGCAAAAACCTGTTTGGCTCAGTGGATAGAGAGTCAGCCTATGAATTGAAATGTCCCAGTTCTATTCTGGTCAAGGGCATGTACCTTGATTGCGGGCACATCTTCAGTAGGGGATGTGCAAGAGGTAGCTGATCGATGATTCTCTCTCATCGATGTTTCTAACTCTCTATCCCTCTCTCTTCCTCTCTGTAAAAAAATCACTAATATATATATATATATATATATATATATATATATATATATATATATATATATATATAATACTGAAAGCAAGTGGTTCTAGGTTAGTTCAAGGAGCTAACCACATGTGCCCTGACAGGGAATGGAACTGGCCGGGTAATATTCTTATGTTTTTATTATGTTAAAATATTTCCTTGAATAAATTGTTAGAATTAGATATAGTAGATTTTACCAATGGCCTCCTCAGTCCTAATTGTTCTTCTGTGCTCTGTAACATGTAACTTTTCAGCACTGTCCCACTGTGGGCAGAATGTAATGTCCCACCCCCTGCACGCTAAGATGATTTGTTTCAGTCAATGGGATGTGAGAAATGTACAAGTAGAATCTTGAAAAATGTTTTTCCATTTGAGCTTCTGATAATTGTTCTGGGAATGGAATTTCTAGCTAGCCTGCTTGTTCTGGAAGGACAATGAAAGCAGAAAAGCCCAGGTAAGCTTGGACAATGTGGCTCAGTGGTTGAGTGATGATCCATGAGTCAGGAAGTTACCATTTGCAGTGTGTGGTGTGCAGGAGGCAGCCAATCATCATTGATGTTTCTCTCTCTCTCTCTCTCTCTCTCTCTCTCTCTCTCTCTCTCTCTCTCTCTCTCTCTCCCTCCCTCCCTCCCTCCCTCCCTCCCTCCCTCCCTCCCTCCTTCCCTCCCCCTTTCTTTCTCAGAAATCAATACAAACATATTTTTTTAAAAATGAACACCGAAACTGGTTTGGCTCAGTGGATAGAGCATCAGCCTGTGGACTGAAAGGCTCCAGGTTCAATTCTGGTCAAGGGCATGTACCTTGGTTGCAGGCATATTCCCAGTGGGGGATGTGTAGGAGGCAGCTGATTGATGTTTCTAACTCTCTATCTCTTTAAAAAAAAATCAATAAAATACATATTAAAAAAATAAAATAAAAAAGGTACTACCCAGTTAAGCTGATTTAATACAGCTCTGATAAATCAGAGCTGCCCAACCCATAGACACTTGAATGATGCCAGCAAGATCAGCAGAACCCCACAGCCAACCCATGGACATGTGAACAATTAATGCTTGTTTTTTGTGTGACAATGAGAACTTGTAGCTGCTGCTACCCAGCATTAACCTGTTAACCGGGGAGTTCCCTTTTTAATTACGCAACATACAACAGGCGCATACTCTTTCACTAGGACGTGTCAGTATGTCACACCCAGTGGACGTAATTTTATATTATTATTATTTTTATTTATACCTAATTAAAATAAATGAAATATATATTTTTTTGTTTATTTATATATAAAGCACAAAGGAAAATACAAAATTACAAACAAATAGAAAAGAATACCAACAAAAAAATGGAAACATCGAATTAAAAAATTATAAATTTTACAAACAATTATAAAGATTACAGCCAAAGCCAGTTTGGCTCAGCGGTACAGCGTCGATCTGTGGACTGAAAGGTCCCAGGTTCGATTCCGGCCAAGAGCATGTACATGCATTGCAGGCACATCCCCGGTAGGGGGTGTGCAAGAGGTAGCTGGTCGATGTTTCTCTCTCATCGATGTTTCTATCTCTCTATCTCTCTCCCTTCCTCTCTGTAAGAAAATCAATAAAGTATATTTAAAAAAAAAATAAAGCTTCCAAAAAATATATACCGTCCCTCTCAGGGCGCAACATACCATATTTTTTGGACCATAAGACACTCCGGACCATAAGACGCACCAGTTTTTAGAGAAGGGAAATGAAGAAAAAAAGATTCTGAAACAAATAGTGTCCTAAAATATTTTATGTGCATTAAAACCCAACATCACAGTCATAAACACATGTAATCAACCCTGTAAAGTAAACAGCAGCATTTAGAACCATTTTAGAGCCGTGCAAGCATACAGAGACCACACAGAGCCGGGCAAGTAAAAAAACTTTTTTTTAAAGTATATGTGTAGGCTATATTTGGACCATAAGATGCAGGGACTTTTTCCCCCCACTTCTGGGGGAAAAAAAGTGCGTCTTATGGTCCGAAAAATACGGTACCTATATTTCAAGAATGTATTCATATGTCCTACCCATTCCCGATAGTGTTTATGTTTGACGTATTTATAGGTCCCGCTCGGTTAACAGGTTAATGTGGCAACAGAAAACTCATACATTGTGATTTAGCTATATATTTTTTAATGGTACATGTATTTATTTGTAATTTTAAAAACATTGACATATTTTTGGGATTTTTTTATGATAATACATGCACTTTAGCTTAAGTGATAATGTACATCCATTATTTTACCTAATAGTAGACAAAATTGACCATACATCCGCTACACCCACCAGCCAATCAGGAGTGATAAGCAAATTAACCCAACAAAGATGGTGGTTAATTTACATACATAGGGGCAGCCAGGACACTTGTAGTGTCGCCATGGTGATGACCAAGGCATTCCATCCCACCCCTGGTCTCTCAGGGCCTCTGGGCAGTGTGGGAAGGCAGAGCTGGAGCAGAAAGAGATGGCTCCGGGGCAGGGCCAGAGGGGAAAGGTGGTGCCAGCCAGGGAAAGGAAGGCCCATTCTAGCATGAATCTTCTTGCATTGCATTGGCTTCTAGTAATTAGATAAAAGTAAAAATAACAAAACAAACAAATAAACAAAAATCTCCTTAGTTGTTTCTAGACATCATTCCTATCTTGACCTTTTTAATTAACTTGGCTATTTATTTTTCATATAGATGAAAATATTTTCAGAGGTAAAAAAGGAAGATAATTACTTGTTCACTTATAGAAAGAAAATGGAAAAGCTAAATTACTAAGAACAAGGGAAAATGGCCAAACTGATAAACCAAATTTATTTTTAAAGTTGGCTTATAAGATTGTTAATTTTCTTTATTTTAATCAGTCTTACCAACCCTTAGAATGCTGGGCAATTTAATTTCTGACAATAGTGAACATTATTCTATATAAATTTAAAGCCATGACAATCTGACTTCATTTTTCTATCTCTGCACCCATGAGCTCATATTAATATTTATGCTAAGCTAAAAGAAAGTTTTTGTCCATTCTTAGTTTAGACTTTGAAATGAGATAATTAGTTCCCCTAAGTTAAGCAAGATTGAATTTCATTGCATATTCAGTCCAATTATCCTTGAAATCCACAGATAATCCCTAAATCTCATTTGAGTGATTAGTATCCATGTATAAATAACAAGCCTTTCATTCAGAATTGTAATAAAGGAGTAAGATGAACCTTTTTAAAAATTCGATTCAGAGAGAGAGAGAGAGAGAGAGAGAGAGAGAGAGAGAGAGAGACCTATGTG